AAGACAACGTGTAGGCGACCAACTCCTCGAGCGGACATGCAACCTCATATCATAACGGAGGTTGGATATTTAATTGTGGGAAGAACAAATTCTGGAGAAAATTCTTTACCAGGAAATCTTCTGACGTAGGCATTTCCAGCATGATTATTAATATTGAAAGTGGATTCATCACTTAACAGTACTCTGCCACTGCTTTGCTGTCCAGATTCGATGTTCCTTGGCTCATTTCAAATGGTGCAATCTTTGCTTTTCTGAAAGCATTGGTTTTTTGATCGCAGCGTCATCCCGAACAGAAACTTTCTTTGGTCGGCTACTACGCGGTCTGTCGTCGATTTTTCCTTTTTCAGCATACTTTTTAATGACTCTAATTACTGTAGATTGTTCTTCTTATGATGCCCTATCCAATTAGTGGATGTTGGCGACAATTCTGGGATACTCCTCTCGATCTTGTGTGGCTCTCAAGAGTGCATGGGCATTAAGGTTTGTCCAATCCCTTATGTTTTTAAGCCATGAGTATTTCTTTCTTCCGATGCTTCGTTTACTGCGGATGCTATTTTGCGACTAGATTTGTCGTTTTTATGGTAAAAAATAATTTCAAAACGCTTTTCGTCCGATAATTTAGTTTGTTTGGTCTGCGATGACATTTTGACCTTATTATCGAAAATCAAAGAGCTAATAAATGTGTTAGGGTAACTGCAGTGTTTATATAGTCAAAATATGTGGCAAATTTGTCATGAAGATTCGACTAATAGTACTTTAACGACTTAATAATCACCTCATAATTTTCTCGGATCTGGGAAATCCCTTCAATCAGATTATTTTAATCTTTTCTGTAGATTTTTGAGCTAGTTATTAAAAAAATATTAGTAAGTATACACAAGCACAAACTTAAAATAAATTAGCGAAAATATACAAAAAACTTGAGTTAAACCTTCAAAAACTATAAGGCGCTTAGGTGATGCAGGACTTTTTAACACCACTGTACGTAATCATAGGTCTGATCGTGTGACTACAGTTATTTATAACAAAAACAATGGTGTATATAGCCAGCACAACTGTTTGGTTTGGTATCAATATTCAATTATTACCAATATACCCTTCGACATGTCCAAAGGGAAAGCTTTGTTTTGTTGGATATTCTTTGCATATGGGCGTTATTTTTAAAAGGTTTATTTAATATGACTCCTACATTTTTAACCTCATTCGCCTCTTTGACAATTTATTCATACAGAGTGGGCATCCTAATGTTATCTAGGTTTTGTCTCCTTGTCAAAGTGACTCCTTCGGGTTTGCTAGGATTGACAAAGAGTTTTTCCTGTCGCATCACCTAGTAAGGATAGTTAATGTTTGGTGGAGTGTGCTGGATAAGATATTACCTTATTTTTCTCTTACCATAATATCTAGATTATCCGCATAGGCTTCCATTTCTACCCCTTGTGAGTAACTGAGCGAGCTCAGGTTCAGGAGAGATCACAGGAGGAAAAATATTAGGCAAACGCAGTCCAGGACGAAGAAGAACCTCATGGTTGAAGAATTTGCGAGATTGATATGGTGTTGATACAAGCATGCCATTTAGGGTGGCAGTGAATAAAATTAATATAGCTATGACAGTAACCAACATTCTGAAAGGACATGGTACATGAAGAAGAAGATGTCAGATTACAAAGTTCTCCTACTTTTTCCGATTTCCTCGTTTGATTATTCCATAAGAACTTTTCCGAATCGCTTTCTTGCCCTTCTTTACCAACTGCTGAGCTCTAGTTCATTATGGATCTTCTTGGTTTCCATTAGAGAACTTGTTTTTGGACTACACATAGTTTGGCATTTGACAAAGTGTGACATTTGTATTTCAGGTTTAAACTGGTTAACTATTGAGTTCCTTGTTGTTTGTTGGTGGTACATCAAAAACTTGGTGAAACCCTAATAGAAATCTTTGAACAGCTAAAATAATATTGTCTATTACTTGAAAGACAGATTCACTTCTAATGAATAATAATAACGTTATGTCTTTATATTTATTGACAATAAAACTTTTTAAACTACATATATTTCTTCTTGTGTTCCGATAAATCCACCGATCGTGTCAGATTATATACCGCAGTTGTCGTTACATCAATGTATAGGGGAACGGAAATCCTTTATTATTTATCCGTATTTATTTAGTGCGTATTTCCTGTAAGGGAGACCCCATTTTCTCTATTATAAACTTAATACCTTAATCCTAACATCGTATCTCACATCCACTCATTACGTTTTCAAAATAAACGAGCTGGAAAAAATCAACCATCTATAAACACCTTTTCTTCGTAATGTTTGTAGATAATTTTGTCCCAACTGTTTTGGATTATATATCAATTTTATCACTCCCATATTAACACCAGCGTCCGAAATTAAGGCGAGTTTTTTGTTCAGTTTTATATATTATATATATATATATATATATATATATATATATATATATATATATATATATATATATATATATGAAGTAGTACGAACTTGGGAAAATATTTACAGAGGAGAAAAATACAACTTCCTACGACTTATAATGGAAGGGAAAGTGGAAGAAAGAAGAGGTCCAGGAAGAAGAAAATGCTCCTGGTTGAAGAATGTAAAAAACTGGAGAGGTATGGACACACATTCGATACTAAGAACAGCTCAAGATAGAGAGCAATTTGCTGTAGTTATAGCCAACCTTCAGTAATGGAGAAGGCACCTTAAGAAGAAGCACGAACTTGGGGGATTTCCCGAGAGAATTCTCCGATAGCGAATTCTCGATAGAAGTCTCCCTACTATTTGTAGTTCTGGTTACTAGCAACTACAATGTGTATATGGGCTGGTAGTCCATTTCCTGAGAAATGTATTGGCTCGATGGGCCCCATGCCATGATGCTGTTTTATTTAGTAGTCGTCCGTTTTTGTTCGTAGCTCTATCACTTTAATTTGGGGAGCTCGCATTTAGGTCTTCTATAATTATTGAGGTTCGGCTATGTTTAAGAAGACGTTTCGATCGTCGTCAAGTAGTAGATCCTGTGGCCTTACATAGGCTAAGGTAATCCGAATTTCTCCGTGCTTCATTTGTACTTTGCTTGTCGTTGCTTCCATAGTGTTAAGTTGTAGTGTTAGGATTCTGGTGTGGTTTATTCCTTTTTTCAGTAGGATAGCTATGCCTTCTAACCTTCCTGTATTATCGTTCCTGTAGATATCGTAGCCTAGAAACTTTAAATTTATAGTGTTCGTTACTTTAGTTTTCTGTATTCATACAACGTCCATTTCGAATCTGTTGATATGTTCGTAAAGTATATTTTGGTTTGATGTTATACCGTTTGAATTCCAGGAGCCTATCCTTAAGTATCACCGGTTAGCGTGCCTTAGTTCAGCACTAACTTTATGTCATCTATTGCCTCGTAGACTATTCTGGTAACCAGTTTCTTTACCGTATTTACTAGCCCGTCCTGTTATTATTTGGAGATCAGGATAGTGTTTTTCTCCATTTTGTCTTGTTGGTTGTTGTCTCCTGATTGTAGGGACTTGCTGTCCCTGGCAGTTGGCACATTTTGCCTTTTGTTCCGGAGCCATCTTGCACTCTTTGCGACTGTGGTTTTTTACCCATTTAGAGTCCTTAAAACGTGCGTTTTGGGCATGGTGATACCCTTGGCAATTAAAGCACTGTGTTGATCCCTGCGCTTTTCTTAAATCTTCTATGACAATTTGTATGTACATAAGATTTGTTATTTGCTTAGCTTTTGCATTTCCTGTTTTTTCACGGTCAATATGAACATTTTATTGTTGGCACGGATAGAAAATAATTTTTTTTTTTTTTTTCCTCGGTAGAAGCCACTTTTCTCGGCGGCTTCTTGGCTATTTGCTACGGTACTTTTGGGGTTGCTCCCGTAGATAGAGATGTGTATAATTGCTTGTATTGGTTTGCCCAGCTTTCCTCTGCTTTTTTGCTCGTTCTAGCAGCTTTTAGGTCATCGCATTTTATGTTGATGTTGCCGATAATATTTCAGCTTGATTCCACAATCGTGCTGTCCTGCAATTCTACCTTGTCACTTTGTTGGAGTCGTCGCCTTTTGTTCGTCTTTCTTATCGTTCCTCGACGGTGGTATCCTCGACTTTATCGATCGTTTTTCACTTTTTTTCTATTTTTCTTCGTCTTAGGGGTTTTTAGCTCCCAGTCGCTTTTGCAGATGGTTTTTGCGGTACAGTGGTCGCCATCAAGATCTTTGAATGGGGTTATCAGCTATATGTAATATTTCCATTCATGGGTAATTATCTTAGATGTTTAGAGATTTAGCCTAACGGCTTGGTGATCGCGTAGTGCGATCGAGGGACATTTTCAGAGGTCGGCTTATTTTGAAGAATCTGTTTTTTCTTTGCGTTCGACTGACCGCTGTCAGTCGTATTCTGAGTGCCGTCCCAGGTACCTTATCGCGGTAGTTCACTCTCTAAAAGAACAGAGAAGGATACACTTGAGTTCTGATCCTGCGCTAATCTAGAAAGCAACCACCGAGATAAATCAATAAAAACCAATTTCCCTCGGTTTAATCATCTCCAAAATCACGCTTTTGCCTCTCTGAAATTGCCTTGTAAAGTTTCGACTTCCTATCTCTGCATGTCGATGTCTTACTCCCCTGACAAGAGTTTGAGTCTGTTTAGCAGTACACTATTGATATTAGCCTATACTAGCGTGTGCAGAATCTACCTGTTGGCGTCTGGCTGATGGCCGAAGCATCTATTGTTATTCGCATATTAACTATTATAGCGCCCTCTATCAGATAATAATAGTAATTGCTAAAAAATTTGCGCAGTTTTCTTTAGTATACTAATATAATACACTTTTACACTCATAGTGCAGTTACCCGTTTGGAAATATATTTTATGGTACTGATAAATAGAGCCTCCTTAAAACGATAAATCTTAAGGATAATTCAACTTATTACTTATTTCTTATTATTTATGCATGATGTAGTTTACACAATGATTTCCTTGTTTCAGATCAAGGAGTCTACAACTTCCAGAGAAAAAGCCGCAAACTTTCAGCAGAGATGTTCAAACGGTCCAATCCAGAATTTCTCCTCAGCATCCAGAGCCACATAGGACCATTGTTAAAATTATCAATGCTGGAGAAAGGTCAAAAAAGCATACTCAGAGTCAAGCTCAGTCTTTGCCACATTCGTTGGAAGGAGAAGATATCAGTGAGGATATGCTTAGGGAAGCAGAAGTTGTCACAGGATTTGTATATGGTAAGTAGTACTTGTGCGCCAGATATCGATAAAAAAAATATGATTATTATACATTAAAATATTAAAAGTGCATAAGCTATTTGCCAAATTAGATATATCTATTAAAATAATATAATAATATAGTAAATAAATTTCCAGTGATATTTGTATTTTTACACAAAAATTATATTTTTATAATTAGAATATAATATGTAATAATTATTTTTATTCACAACAAATTTATCAACTGCTCAAGTTTAGGTACTGAAATTGATTTTATTTGGGCTTGTAGTATTACAGAGTAATGAGAACATAGATGGACATGCTCGCAGTAGAATAATTGGGGTTGGATGTAATTTAAAGCACGTGGTGTTCGTGTGTATTAAGGTATAAAAAATGCTTATTAAAAGCTTAAAATTTTTATTTTAAAGAAGATCTTTTCGGAATTGAATCATTCCATCATCAGTTTAATAAAAAGTTGTTAAAAACATTGTATGGCCACATAAAAACATTGGAAGGACATCCGTATTAAAAAACAATCCTCATGGTATTTATAAAGGTAAATGCAATAAACTGTTAACTTGTTGATTAATAAAAACTGAAAATGGTGGCATCTTACATGACCCCCTGTAACTGGTGAGGTTTTATCGACTTACATTACCTCTGATCTGTGCTGGAGTCTAGGGCTAACCAGTTAGCCCTAGTTAGAACCACAAATTATTATTAATGTTTATTTTTCTATAATCTTAGCAATTAAAGTATATTTAATTTATTTTAAAACTCATTTGAAAACATTAATTTGGTTATATAGGGCAAAACAATATATTTTACATCCGTTTTTTTTCGTTTTTGTCGTCGTAATTATTGTAAATTTTGTGGATCCTTTGCTTTATTATAGGAGTACCGTCTAGTCAGTGTTAATTGTCAAAAGACCAACTCTGTCTACCTCGTTTGCTTATCGCTCTGGACCGGTCTTAACAATGGACCAAGTCAAATAAATTTAATAATATTTATAACCGCACTAATTGATCAACCATTTTCTTCTAAACAAACTTTACCAACATTTTCATTTCTAAAACTGATACGAGCCGATCACCGTGCTTTGAAGGGTACGTGAAGCCGGTACTAGCTACTTAAAACATACATAAAGATACAATTGGAGTAGGAACCTATCCGAAGGAATCTCCCTGGCAAAAATGCTATAGGATATTATTATTATCCATATTATTTATATAAAACTGTAATAAAACAGGCTTTGATTTACAGAACTGTTTGAAAATGTTCAATATCGAGACTTAATCACCCAATTCCAAGAATTGCTGATTTGTAAGTTGATGAAAGGGTACAAAGAAAGACCAAAAAAACCTGCGGAAGACGCTTAGGCAGGGCATATCGATAATATCGAAAAAAAGAGATAAATGAGGTTATATTTTATGACTAAAGATAGAAACTTGAAAAATGTGATAATGATTAAAACAAAGAGAATTATGAATAATTCAAGAGCGTGTTAAATCGTATATGTACACTTCTTCGACTTCTGGACCTGTATATTCTTGTTACCCTAGCAAATTGCCCGTTGATTTTGTAAATATTACTGGTGCATAATTTTCGTCTTCTTCTGTATTCTACTTAACTTTGGTTTTTTGGTTCCTGATAAAAATTCACTTTCTTTTACTTAGTTTTAATATGTTCATTTATTGTTACGCTTACAGTGGCTGTAACTTGTGACTTATGATGACCAATGTAAAAAAAATAAACAAAATATCAAAATTAAGAGTAATGTTATGGTTGGCACTTATCATACTCTTTATTTGGCTACTGATCTCAATTTTCTGAATTTTTTGTAGGTAACAGATCCCGTGCAGCAGCCCAAGCTCTTATTAATCACAGGTTCAATAGTACAAGTTTCAGTAAGGAAGAAAAGAGCAAAGCTTCAAAGCCTGTTATAAATAACGGTGTTACAGTGTACTATGTGGGAAATTCGAAGAAAGATTCGCAAAAAGTACTGGTGCGAGGAGCAACTAGTCCCATTCTGAGCAGTTTTGAAGGCAGAACTGAATATAAGGATATGTGTTCCATCGATGCATGCAGTTTTTGGCCTCATTGTTCTCACAGGTATAGTATTGTAATATCTACTGTTTAGCCAACGTTGAATGTTTGCAAACAAAATCTTTGTTGTAGTCATAAAATCGGTTTTAAAACTATATCCTTTGCAAAATAAATAATTTATCGATGGAATCATATTTTATGTATATTTATGCTTAAAATATTAGCATGTATTTAGAGTAATAATAAAATTAATCGGCATATCTCCCAAAACGCCGTCTATACTACTGTAATAATGTATAATAAACCGACATATCTTCTAAAACATGTAGTACAAAGTACGACAAAGAAAACTGAGTCAAAGGAGTTCCTGCACCTCTTTCTAATGAGTCAGGCTTAACGACCACGTGAGCTAGACAACCAATGGGAAGGTCACGTGGTCGATAAACCACGATTAGAAAAAGATACGGGAATTGCTTTGCTTCTGTCTCTCTCTTACCCCTGAATGGGACTCTATTGTAGTACTTAGACAATTTGTATTATATGTATATGTTCAAACGTAACCTAACCTAAGCATTCACTCTGAATTATCGACAATTAATTCTGTTTGAGTTAACATTCAAACTATTTTAGGAGACAATTTAACAAAAACAAACAGGCATTTTGGCTTATATTCCAGTTTGTTTTAAATGACAACAGATGAATATTAATAAATATTAAAGACAAACTGGATTATTTGCCAATACTTCAGTTCTAGGATGATTCTGGTATACTTACATGACTTGTAATCTTTCACCTTGAAGTTAAGCCACTGGCGCATTGCGCAATAGTCCTGTCTTCTGTTAAGCAAAGTGGTGTAAATCATTATTTAAAACGGCCCCCCATGCTTTGGGACGGACTTTTTTAACCAAATTTGGTGATATTTGACATAAAAATAGACAGAAAAAAAATTTTTTAAACCAATATCTCAAACGATGTTTGCACTTATGCCGGTTTTATTTCATAGCGACAAAATAATCACTTTTATGGCCAAACATAATAGTAGTAATTTATTTCCTTATTACTTTAAATAATGCGATTTTAGATCCACCATGACGGTTTATGCATCGTCTATTTACTTTGTAAATCAGATTTAAGTGAAAACCAAAATTCAGATTTAAGTGAAAATCTGAATTTTGGTTTCGAACAAGTAGTAATCTTCGGACTTTTACATTTTGCTTGATTCTTATATGTCGTTGTATGCGTATAAAAAAAAGTATTTCATTATTACGTCTTTTTGAGGAAAATATTTGATTTCACGTTTAGGGCTTCCTGCTGGGGCGCTCTGATGACTTCTGAAAGGGCAAAATAGGTATAAGCGAATTGTAAAAGCACTATAGGTGAAATCAAATCCCAACTGTCTTTTCTATAACTTCAAAAATTGTTTATATTTTAAAAACTAAACAAAACAGCAATTATATCTTGCTCCTATATTTGTTATCAAAATTTAATGGATCTAATAAAGGTAAATAATAATTGTTTACAACTCGTGATCAAGAAAAAAACTGACGGTGTTAAAAATGTAATTTTTATACACTTTTAAGAAATAAAATATCTATTTTTCATTGTTTAGGGACACCAGCAACGTTATCAGACCGTCTCACAGTTATCCAACTCATCAGAGATCTCTGGATTCTTCGAGGGCTCCCCCGTTGGAGAGAAAAACGCAAGACCAGCACAAGCGACGTTTAGCACTAGAAATGGAGCGCAGAAAACAACAGCAAAGCTGTATTGTTGCCAATGAGTTACACGAAAGGTAAGTGATATACTTATTTGGTATTTTACTTATCTTTTGTATATACTTTGTCCGTTATCGCCATTATCGATTAATATGGAATGTGATTTTCTATTTTTATTGTCTTTCAGCGACTACGAATCTTATTAGACTAGGCGAAAAGCTCGGGTTCGTTCGAAAAAATATTCCCATGAATTTTTTCCATAATCACTTTTATGAGATATCCTAAAATAAGCTTCAAGAGGTCGCCCAGACGAAAAGTTGTTCAAAGTGTTATAAACAATTTTTTCACCAAATTGTAACAATTAATTGTTTCGACCCAGACAATTTTTTTTTAATTTTTTGGATCATTCTGAACAAAATATATCTCTTATAATCTTTCAGTAAACTTGATCATCACCAAGAACCTAAATTCAAGTTCAATCAAACCTTGTTCTATCATTTATATTATCATTATATATGTTTTGTATTATTTCATAAATGTTCATAACTATTTTAGGCTTTTATATTTCATAACAATCACTGTATGACAGATAACTGTCAATTTTGAAATGCGTTAGTATCATGTCTAATTGGCAAATCTTTTAATGTGTTTGGTTCATACGCTGGTGTACGTGATTTCGAATCCCAATATGAATTTCTTATAAAGTATAACTTCTACCAACAGTCCCACTGGACTGCCACACCCGTTTTTTACTTGTGTTTTTGAGCCCTGAAAATCCAAATTTTGCGTTTTTCTCAGTTTTAAACTGTTTGTAACTCTAAAATTATTAAGTTTACAGAAAAATTCCTAGAGACCTATTTTGTTCAAAACGATCCAAAAATTAAAAAAAAATGTTCGGGGCGAAAAAATTAATTGTTACAATTTGTTTAAACAAAATTGTTTAACTTTTCGCCAAGGCGACCTCTTGAACATTATTTTGGAGTATCTCATGAAAGTAATTAAGCAAAAAAATGTGAATATTTTTTCGGACGAATTCGAGCTTTTTGCCTTGTCTATACGTTGATCCTAAAATATTTCCTAGTTTGTTTATGCCTTGAAGAAGAACTTCTCTCTTTGTCTCTCTAACATATGAGAAACATATTGTTTCTTCCTATTATTCTACCAATTTTAAAAGTGAGTTTTATAAATTTAATTGGAATTTTCAAATTATTTATATTTACTCTAAGGTAAGAATAAATATTAGTTTTAATAGGATCACTGTTAGCATGTCATTTAAAAATTACGTATAAATATCTCAAAATGTCTTAACGTAACTTGGCCTGGTAGGGAGAGTAAAGATAGTGAGTGATTGAGTATAATTTTTGGTAGCGTAAAATTTGACGCAAGTGGACGTTTACTTTTGAAACTAAAAGAGAAATGAAGAATTCCAGGTCCAAGTTTGTTCACTGTGCACTCAGGTGTTTTGTAGGATACAACGATGAGCTTTGGGACGTGGGTCTATAAATCTAGCATAGGGAATATTAAGACTAAACAAAATTAAGAATTGTAACGTACCAACTGAAAAGGAAGTAAGCAGAATTTTATATTAAAAGAAAAGGAAGAATAAAGGACATTACCATATCTTTTTTCGGGGACAAGGAAAACTCTGTTACTCTACATTCCTGTCAAAATTATTTTGTTTTATTTCCCAAAAGAAAGAAACATTATAAGAGAAATTAAATAATACAAATTTGTTAGCAACCAGTTGTTTTTATTACTGGGTCTAACATAAATTTAGCTGGATATAATCGGTTACATATTACAAACAAATGTCCATTTCAATTAATTACCTGTTTACATCTTTATGTAATATTAAATATTAATTTCTCTCAATGGCCTGGTAAAACTAGCAAAAATATTTGTATTAAGGATGTTGTCAAAAATAAACCATTAAAAAAAATAACAATAAAATTTCCCGTAGTCATTTTCATATATCATGATATGCAATGATTAGAATTTGCGCTTCTTATAATCTACACTCAAATTTTATGTTGGACAAAAAAAAACAAAAGAATATTCAGAAAACAGTAAAAAAGATTAGGGATATACCCTATAAAAAATGAAGCATTGCACTGCACTAAATATATATGGAAAAAAATTGACAATCACACAGGTTATAATAAAGTTAAAAACTTACGAGGAATTCTGCTTTTACCACTATTAAGGATGAAACTAGTCGCCAGTATTTTAACTAAGTACTTCGTATTTCGATTTCCCGAATGAATGGAAATTCCCGTGGACTTTTATTTATTTTCCTGAATACATCGCCAGTCCATGTCGTTTTGAGAAAATTATTTAGCATTTATTTTTAAATTGCTATAAGTGGAAGGAAAAAGGTGGACTGAAGAGCGAGACAGTAAACACTACATCTTGGAAGCGCCACTCAATAATTATATACAGACTCCTTAAGTCTGTTGAGTCTAACATTTTAAAATGCAAAAAGATAGGAACTATTTTCGATTTTTATGATTAATAACTTGAAAAAAAAACTACTATTATGTTAAAATGTTATTATATTAAATAAATAAATAATAGCTTTATTACCCAACAGTTTCCCATTTCTAGGGTAAAAATTTAAGATACATTTTTAATTAGCATACAATCATCAGTAGATGATACAAAAATATCAAGTAAAAAAATAAGTGTAAAAACTAAGTAGATGAAAAACAAAATAAAGAGTGAGAACAATATAATTAAACAAATCACTATGTAAATAAGAAAAAAGAATACATACAAAAAAAATTAACAATCTAAGGTACTCCATAAACCAGTGCGCTATCAACCAGATGATTAATTGAGCATGAGAAAATATCACAATGGTTGCATATTTTGTTATAATTATCGCACATAATATAAATGGGTGACTTCAGTAACATATTTGTTCTCGCACGTGGACAAGTAAACACGATAGTCGACCTGGAAGTAATTCTTGGCACATTAAATCTAATTTGACCTAATATATCACTGCAGTCAATACAGTTGTGTAACAACTTATATAAAAATGAAACCGAAAATATAATTCTTCTTAACTCTAAACTTACAATATTAAACCTGTTACATAACAAATCGTAATCATAACCATATACGGGATATACTCCATCAACCTTAAATGCTAAATATTTTAAAAGTTTCCGTTGTACCTTTTCAATCTGTTGCATATAACATTTATAAATGGTATACCAAATTAAACTACAATATCCAAGTTTTGTTCGCACTAGCGATATATACAGAAGTTTAATCGGTCTTATATCGCTAAAATTTCTACAGTTTCTGATGAAAAAACCGTACATTTTCATAGCATCGGATACTTTCTGCTCAATATGGTCGTTAAAAGTTAATTTTGAATCAAATATAACTCCTAAATTTTTAATGCTATTACATTTTTCAAGATCTGACCCCTGAATATCCACGTATCTATATAACTTAGATCGTTCTGTAAATCTATACAGTTAGCAACTGTTTTAATTTCACAGTATATTTTAAGATCATCCGCAAAACATAATTTTCTGTTATTGATATCTAAAAATAAATCATTGATATATAATAGGAACAACAATGGACCTAAATTTGATCCCTGTGGAACACCGGATGTAGTAAAGATTAATTCTGATATGAAACCATTATAGGATACAAATTGGTTCCTACCTATTAAATAGCTTTTAAGTAACTTAGATAAGAGCAAGATAATAATAGTAAGATATTTTCAGCAAATCCCAAATTTGATAATTTAAAGAGAAGGTATTTGTGATCAACCTTATCAAACGCTTTAGAAAAATCAGTATATATCACATCTACTTGACCTTGTACATCCAAAACATCTGAAATATATTGAGTTATTACAGCTAAGTTTGATACAGTAGAGCGTTTATCTATAAAGCTATGTTGATAAGGTGATATCCATCCCCTAACAGAAGGGTAAATACGATTATATAGAGTTACTTCGAAAACCTTTGAAAAATTGGATAAGAAAGATACCGGTCTGTAATTGGATACATCAGATTTCGTTTCCTTTTTGAATACAGGGAATATTTTTGCATTTTTCCACAATTTATGATAAGTTCCCGTTTTGAAGTGACTTTACAAATACCCGAGAACAGTCTTTCACTAAAAATGCTGGAATATTATCCGGTCCGGACGTCATTTTATTTTTAATTCTTTTAAATGCTATTAAAATTTCGTTTTCTTGAAATTCGTTAAAATTAATAGTGGTTAAGTAGATATTCCTACATTCTTGATTATTAAATACATTGTTGTCGACAGGTAAATAAACTTTCTTCGAAAAACATCTTAAAAGCATGGATTATATCGCGAGGATTATTAAATGTATCGCCGTGCAACACATTTCACCTGGGATTCTAGAAGTTTTATTCTTTGCATGACCATATGCCCAGAAATTAATAGATTCGTTAGAAATACCATTCTGAATTTTTTCAAGATAAACGTTATATTCAGTTTTAATTATTTGTTTAATTATTTTTCGCAACCTTTTAAATTCATGCATATAAAGTATATACCTGTTTTCTTATAACTTGTGATATTTGTTGTCTTCAACTTTATCATTCTAATTATTTCCGCATTGTACCATGTAGAATATTGATGTTTATAATTTCTGTATATTGGTAAACACATATCAAATAATTCATATATCTTAGCATAAAATAATTCTAGGACTGTATTTACATCATCAGACGTATCTAAAAAATTCCAGTCGCAATTAAGAAATTCTGAGTATAGTAAAGGAAAATTTGCTTTTTTAAAATTATATCTTTCAGTTTTAGAAAGAGCCACAAAACTGGTTTCCTTTTTCTGAAAATCATTAATATTTATCATTAATGCTGGATGATGTAAGTCTTCTTGAACAAGTGGTGCATTATCACGACTTACATGACACAGATCTGATGATATAACTAAGTCTAACAATCGATTTAAATTATTTCCCACCTGATTATACTGATTTAAATTAAACAAACACATGAAGTCTAATACTGCCGATGTCCTCACATCGGACCTATTTTGATTAATATACTTTGGAATGTTATAGTCACCCAGGAGAATAACAGTGTCATAAAATACTTTAAGTTGCTCTAACATTTCAAAAAAATATTTAAAATCATTTAACTTTAATTTCTCAGGAATATATATTACTGCAACATAAAACTTTGGTTATGTAGTGTCATTCTTATTACATAGATGTATAATTAATATAATTTTTCATTTAAATGAAAATTTACTGTATCTTTTTTGCAGGAATATTGCTAGTGAAAGACGCACTAGTCCGAACAAAGCCACAAAACGCGATCAAACCGACAGTCGAAAAACTTCGCCGATAAATCCAAAAAGCCGTACTCCGACATTCGGCACGGTCAGCGGTTCTTCGTCCGGTAGTGACGCCTGGATAACAGCTTCAACTTCGTTTAGAAATAGTGTTAAAAGCTCCGGAACTTCATTACCGCGAGACGAAACGTCTGACGATGGTACTAAAGTGCGCGAAACTATCGTTACGCGTCCAGGTAGTGCGCCGTCTGACGAGAGAGACAATAATACGCTCGAGATGCAGCAGAGGTCAATGTCTTTGCCAAAATCGTTTTTATCAGCGAGTTATCAACCATCTGGGTAAGTCTCAATTTTTTGTGTACAGAATTTTATACAGTATGGATAATGCTTAACCAATAGGTATTTGTACATATTCTATGATATGAAAAATAGATATCCTATGCCATGTAAACGTTTATTATACTTAGTGATGATAAGTTGAAGATTTCTATATCTTTATTAACTAACTACAATGAACTGCTGCGCAAATTAAATATTAGCTGGTTTTTCTATTAACACAAAAATTACTGATCTTACTATTTGGCTATACCAATTTTTTACACAAGGCGCAATAGTTACGTTCGAAAAGTCAAAAACGTCAAAATATCAACGCTAAACATTTTTTACAGGTATTTCTAACCCATGATACAAATAAACAGATAAGATACCGCGCATGTAGGCGTGGCTTATGTGACGTCAGCTTGTGCTAAATTTCTCCATATTGTGTTTTGATATTTATTTACATTTACGGTTCACATCCAATATTTAGTAAAATAATATTTTGAGAGTGTTAAAGGCTTTAAATTTTTCCCAATATGATGTGTGCCGTTTACAATATGAACCCGTTGAAAATATGAGTTTGTACCCGGTACAGCATTCTATAGTTTTCCAAAAGACAAGGAAATGTAAGCTGTTTGGAAACATTTGTGTAACTTTAAGCACTTTATTGAAAGTAATTATGAACGTAATTTAAAACATGAATTGCTGGGATATACACACAAAACCATCGTTCTTTAAAAAAAGACGCTGTTCCGTCAATACATTTTCTAAAACAAATAAACAGAACGAGAAGGCAATTTCTGATAGAACGAACCGGCAACATAAAAGACAACAAAAAAGACTTGTGGATGAGTTATTAAATCATCATCATCATTGGCTTTTACAACTCTTCGTGAGTTTTTGCCGCGTTTACTATTGCCTTCCATTGATTCCGATCCTGTGCTATTTATCGATCTTCTACCATCTGGTCTTTCCCAAAACACATTGCTAATCAGTCTGTCGTCATCACTCCATACCACGTGGCCTGCCAATCTTAATCTACTGGCTTTTATGTATCTTACGATGTTTCCTTTCCCGAAAAGAGTCTCTATTTCATTGTTGTATCTACTCCTCCATTCATTTGTCACGCTGTCCCTGCAAGGACCATATATAATTCGCAGGATTTTGCGTTCCCATACTAATAGCTTATTGATTTCTTTCTTTCTCAATGTCCATGTTTCATTTCCATATGTCACTGCTGGTCGTATTATGGTTTTGTACATTTGGATTTTGGCACGCCTTGAGAGAAGCTTTGGACCTCATTAGATGTTGAATGGCAAAGAATGATTTATTCCCCGCCAGTATTCGTATTTCAATCTCCCGTTCTCCTGTGTTTTCACTAGTAATTGTTGCTCCTAGGTATTTGAATTCTTTGACCACCTCAAAATTATGATCGTTTATGGTAATCATGAATGTGTTGCTTGTGTGAGTCCATATCAAATAGGTAAAAAAATAATAATAAGACTTACTCACAATCAATTTAATTTAACAATCAGACGACCGGTTTCGCTTTCTACAATTTGCAAAGCATCTTCAGGTCTAGATACAAAGTTAAACTAATGATGCCGGTACTCTATTAATTGATGGATGGTAGGTCATGGTTGCAAAAATCATGTATTGTTGATTGGAGAACTATAATGTGCTATTGCAGTTGTTTTGACAATAAACGGGAAGTTCTTGAGGAGAATAGATTTGATCCAATGAATTAGAGATAGGTATATTGCGGTTGTTTGTCAAATGAAAGTGATGTTCTTTACTATTGTATTATTTAAATTATTTACACTTATATCACAGATATATTTTTGGAATGTGTGTTATTTATTGAGTATTTATGTTATGAAGGAGACAGTTTTATGACAATGAATAAGAGTAGCTGTACCGATTGTGTGGTTGTGCAATTATTTTGACTTGTAATTATCAAGTCTATTGGCAAAATTAATCAATTATTCTAAAGTCAAGTATATAAAAAGTATATAAAATTATTACAAATTAAGACAATCAGGGACAAATTAAACACACATTAACAGGAACAGAAACACTAAATGACGGGACAAACATTGAATTTAAAACTTAAACTTGGGGAATGGAAGAAACTGCAAGCACTACATCTCAGTGTTGGAAGTAATGAGATGACATTGTAACGACTCGGTACTTTAACTATCAATAGCCGGTATGTTATACCCGTTACTTTCGGAACTTTTAAGAGTACCTAAACTCAAAGCAAACAAATATTTAAAACTAACAAAGTGAAATATTAGATCCTTTTTCTAGTTTCTGAACCATCGTTCTGCCAATTTCTTTTCATTTATATTAAAATAGTATATTTCTTTTTATTGCAGTTGTAATACCTAATAAAGTAATAAAATGTGTTATATCAGAGAAACCCGGCACGCCTCTTTGGTGTTTACATTTCACGGAAAGCTTACCTAAATGTCTGATGAACACATTTGGCTTCATAGACGTCATTGTATTTATTTGAATATTTTAACTGAAATATTTTTAGTTTAGTTGTCATACGAGTAGACCCTTTTTATTGGAATAATGATTAGACCAATTGACCTTCATACTTCTACTTGGACAGTAAAATATTCGTTGTCGCAGTAAATCAAAATAGTCGTATATTCGTGGAATAGCCTTTAACTATAACAGAGTTATCGTGTATAGCACAGATTATATACTATCTTAACTGGTCTGTGTTTTTAAATATCTAGAATACATGGTCCTATATACTTTAACTGTAATGACTTTGTCTAAGGGTTAATACTGAAGAAGATAATCTGGACAAAATAATACTTGGCATTTAGATCAGATAATACTGGTACTTCAGATCTAAAAATTAATAAAATATCAAAGAAGTCTCTCAACATTCAAGGCACTGGAAGACAAAAAGTGAAATTAGCAACTAAGTTATTTTCCCACACCATTTCCAAGGCAATTTTAAGATGTGGAACAATTGGGTTATTTAAAAAAGCAAACTGGCTTGAATGTGCAGAATTTTTTAAATTGTTACGCATATTTTGTTTTTTTTTGTTATTTGTAAATTAAATACTTTTATGTAAATATGGCGATAGTATAAATAATAAATTTTAGGTAAATGATTAGTTTGATATTATGAATGTATGAATAACTCAATTATTTCTCAACGGATATTCTCAAGTTAAAGTTGATTTCATGTAATCGAATGAACTATCTTATAAGTAAAGTCGTCCCAGGAGCGCAACTCAACAATATTGGCAATATCATTTTAAAGTCGTCTACTTTAAAATGCATAATGTATGTCTGAATTGTCAATATAAATGAGTCAAATAAAATTAAATTATTAGAAAAATTTTTCACTATGTAACAAAAAATAAAATTTGTTTAATCTACTGTTTGTATTTTGAGACCGATTTCCGAAGTGGAAATTGAAACGTCAATAAACGTATTTTTATCTTTAATTGTGGTTTATTCCCAGTTAAAGAGTAATTAGCACTGACAATGGAATAGTTATTTCGAAAACGTTCTGTGATCTAGCCCGATAGGGTTTTTATATTAATATACCCTTTTAAATCTATTTTTTAAACTTTAAATCTTTTAAATCTATTTTTTAACTTTAAATCTTTTAAATCTATTTTTTAAACTTTAAATCTTTTAAATCTATTTTTTAAACTTTAAATCTTTTAAATCTATTTTTTAAACTTTAAATTTTGTTGTTACATTATTTAAATTCATTCTATAACTGTATAACAACTTTTATATTTGTCATCTACTTGCTAGAAAATACATTGCAATCGCAATAAAATCATATTTTTGTTAATCTTCAACAATATTTCACCAAACCTTATTAATTCAAGAATCTGATTGATTCTTACAAAATCTTATAAGTTATTGAATCAACAAGCTAGTGAAAACGCAGCCGGACGACTACAAGGAATTTACGTCTAATAAGGCGAAGAAAGTTGGTACAAAATACAAGATCGATAAATTTCGCATGGCATATGGCGTAAGAGATTATAACTGTATTAAAATTAAATAATTTTAGCTTCCGGGGAAACTTTTCAGTGTGAAGAAGAGTGATTGAACTGAAAAGTGGGAAAAGTTTATAATGTTGTGTGGGGGGACTAAATTTATCAAATACAGGGTCAAATATTTTTCTTCAAAATATACGTGACTAATGGATTTTAGATTAAGTAAGTCCAAAAAGAAATAAACAGAAAAATTATATATATTCTCTTATAACTATAACCTAGTACCACTATACTCCTATTCTTTTGATAATTTAGAAAAAAGAAGAAGACGTGACCTAACAAGTTCTTATTTCTATAAAGATGTTTATAGATGTTAGATTCTTATAGATGTTTTGTTTTATTTATAACGTTTAACATACCTTTATCAGCAAGTATTCGGCGTATAGAGCTTTTTTTGTATAAATTTAATAATTATTATCTGATGAAAAATATTCAATTTTGTTGAGCGACCACTATTGATCGCTTTCCACTCTTTCGTACAATTTTTTTCGTAATATGAAATCGATTGTTTTCCTCTTCGCCAATTATCCAATAAATTATAAATACAAAATATTATACTTTCACACAAATATCGATACATCAAAACAACACTGTTTTCAAGAATTCAAGAATTGGTAGGTGTTAATTATTCCATATCCATTTCCACTATGTTTCCATTTTAATATTTAAATACGTTAAGAAGTTGTAACACTCATTAAATAAGGTAAAATTACTATGTACTGTAATGTATTGGAAGAGGGTAAGTCTGCTAAAAAAATTTACGCTGGTTTTCCGCGCCAACAATACAGAGCGTTGACTAATCAATGTAGCATAGAAACTAAAGATAATGAATTATCTAAACGGCTATCACTCATGCATGCGCAAAGTACAAGAATTTACGCTTCGAGTGTATCTGTTTCTGTAGAGTAGGGAGGGCGAGTTAAGTTTCACAGCACTTAGGCCACAATTGACCCATTGTGCATCCTCCCAGGGAGCTGTT